CTGGTTAAAAGCCTGGCAGCTGAGTTCTGGACAGTATGGAGTCGATCAATAGATTTTTGGGTTAAACAGGTAAAAAGGCTGTTGCAATAATCCAGGCGTGATGAGATGAAGGCGTGTAAAATGGTCTCGGTGTCCTTAAAAGTTAACATAGATCGAATTTTTGCTATATTAACGTTGATAAAAACATGATTGAACAAGCTTTGTGGTGTGCTGCTCGAAATTTAAATTACTATCAAACCAAACACCAAGGTTCTTTGCCACAGGCTTAATGTGATTTACTAGGGAGCCAGCAGATGGCAGTATTTGTTTTGCCATCTGCTGGGACCCAATGACCAGGATTTCTGTTTTGTCTGAGTTCAGCTGGAGGAAATTATTTGACATCCATTTTTTAACTTCACAAAGGCAGTTGTTAAGTGAACTCAGCATTCCAGGGTCTGTGGATCTGACGATCAAGTACATTAGTGTGTCATCAGCATAAATATGAAAAGAAATACCATGTTTATGGATAATATGTCCAAGGGGAAGCACATACAAGGAAAACAAAATGGGTCCTAAGACCGACCCCTGAGGCACACCATATTTAACTGGACAGAACGAAGAGACATAGTTGTTCACAGACACGCAAAACTTCCTATTTGACAGGTTGGATGAAAACCATTCTAGGGCAGTACCAGATATCCCCACCCAGTGCCTCAGTCTGTCTATCATGATGTTGTGATCAATGGTGTCAAAAGCAGCGCTGAGGTCCAGGAGTACCAGGACTGAGCACATACCTTCATCAGCAGACATTAAAAGGTCATTGGTGACTTTAAGCAGGGCAGTCTCAGTGCTGTGGTACTTCCTGAAACCAGATTGAAACTTTTCAAATAATTTGTTATTTTCCAGTACAGTGAGCAGCTGTTTGGACACAATTGTTTCTAGAATCTTTGCAATAAAAGGCAGTTTTGAAATTGGTCTAAAATTATGTGGGAGGGAGGGATCTAAGCCAGGTTTCTTTAAAAGTGGGTTCACGCAAGCCGTTTTAAAATAATCAGGGACACAACCAGTAGATAGGGAGCTGTTGAAAACAGAGATTAAATGGGGCCCAACAGAATCTATTACTTTCAGTAAAAACTTTGTAGGTATTACATCAAGTGGGCTGGAGGACACTCTAATTTGTCATACTGTTTTTAAAAGCTCAGACAAGTCGATGGGATTAAACTGGTTAAAACTCTCTTGTTGCTGGTGAGGAACCTCTGAGTAAGAGGCTGCAGGGGTAATAGAGGCTCTGATTGACACCACCTTATTGGTAAAATAAGATAAAAACAATTCACAGTCATCATTACTTCCAGCTGAGGCACAAGGAGGGGTTGGGTTTACCAGCTGATCCACAGTCTTAAACAGAAACCTGGGATTGTGTTTATGTGTAGTAATGAGTTCAGAAAAATAGTGTGTTCTCGCATCCTTAACCATGTTATTGTAGTTAATTAATAAATCCTTCAGACTGAGGTAATGGACTTGGAGACTGGATTTTTTCCATCTGCGCTTTGCTTTCCTGCATTCCCTTTTTAGGCTGCGAATGCTGTCATTTATCCAGGGTTGCTTACTAGCTTTAGACGTAGGCCTAACCTTTAGAGGAGCAGTAATATTTAGTGACAACAAGCAGATATGATTGAAGTGATCGACCAGATTGTTGGTGTTGGAATCAGACAGGTGTTGGCTTTGGCTCTGAAAGAATGCACAAAACTTTGAAACACTTTCTTCATTAAAGAAGCGAGAACACACAGAGCTTGGTGAGGCGGCATGAGTAACAGGCGAATCGCAGCTAAAAACAATACATCTGTGGTCAGATATGGTCATGTCCACTAATTCCACAGAGGAAATGCTGACACCCAGGGTAAAAACCAAGTCCAGTGTATGACCACGGTTATGTGTTTGCCCTTTGACTCTGTTTGAAGTTAAAAGAAGTGGCCATATTTAAAAAGTCAGTTGCATTAACATTGTTGGGGTCATCAACATGATTATTAAAATCGCCACAAAGAACAATTCTGTCATAATTTAAAACCAGAGTAGATAAAAATTCAGGAAGTTCTGATAAAAATCCTCCAGGCGGTTTTGCGGGGTGATAAATTATAACAAATATTATAGGTTGCAGCCCTCCAACTTTAAGAGTGAGAACTTCAAATATATATATAAATAAATTCATCACAGCGTACTTGATGACATTTTAAATTTTTCCTATACACGCTCACTAGCCCACCACGACGACCACTGACCCTTGGTTGACTAAAACAATCATATTGAGGCCCCGTGCAAAGGACCTTAAGGCGAGACACCACATTCAAATAGGCCTTTTTCTCAAGATTACTCATATCACAATGCAACTTATGCAACAAGCTAAATGTATACATAAATAGAAGCTTTTTTTGAATGATAACTTTTTATGTTTTTTATTTTTTATATACAAATTAGGTATTTCCTCATTAAATACGCATGGGATTGGTGTAAATGTATGATGATCTAAATGCCTTCAAGGGCAAAGTAAATTTCTTGGCGTACAGGAAAAATGTAATTTTGAGAAAAAGGCTGTTAAAGATTAGCTAACGCATTACAAACACACAGCATAAAAAATGTTCTTATCTGATATCTTATCTCTTATATGATATATGAACTAGCCAACATTGAGCCCTAGAAAAAAAACTTTAAAAAGATATATGATTTTATATGGACAGTTTTAAACAGACCAGTGGAAGTTTTACATGTAAAATGCTAACAAAGAATAAAATGTATGCGATCTGCGGTTAAGCTCTAAAATAATTTAAATATCTTTCCTATAATTGCATAAGTTGTATCCAACATGTGATTGTTGTTGCTGTCCCTCAGGTGTCCAGTGCCGTCACGTCTCTGCAGCTGGCTGTAGCAGAGTTGGAGGCCGGGAACCTCGGCTTTGCTCTTCAGTACAGTAAAGAGGCCATCTTGGCATCAGAGAGAGCGTTCTTTGACCCCTCACTCCTCCACCTCCTCTACTTTCCTGATGACCAGAAGTTTGCTATCTACATACCACTCTTCCTGCCTATGTGTGTGCCCATTCTGCTGTCACTGCTCAAAATAGTGTCTGAAGTGAGACAGAAACGCAGAGAGAAGCAAGCCAAGAAGGACTGAGAAACACTTGAAGAGAAGATGGGATGAAAAATGTAGTCTGAACAAAAAAACTGCGAGTGGCCTTGACATTTAGGTACAAAGGTGGGCATGAAAGACTCATATGCAGCATTGGGGTGTGGTGTTTTAAAAATGTGTCATGCATCATTTTTATTGTTTCATGTAAGGACATGTTTATTGTAAGATTGTAACAAATGGCTGCTGTGGATGTCTGACACTGTATAGTGGAAAGCTTAAATTGTTTTTATATTTAAATTCCACTTAAGTTATTTACAAATAAAGACTTACGTTGTAACTCATGTTTTTGCTCTTTGTTTAGCAAGAAAATACCTGATATTATATCATTATTACGTTTATTTGGCAGACACCCCTGAAGCAACTTACCCCAATTTTGTGCAAAGTTGAGCATAAAAGTTTGTTCTTTACCTTGCAAATAGTAAATTGACAAAGTTAGTGACAGACAATGGAACTGATATCTGATATTTTGAGATAATCGTCATCAGCTGATACCTGCACTCACGAGGCAAATAAACAGAAAATGTCTGCAAACACATCTGCAGGCAGCTTTATCAGTGTGGCTGCTGTGGAATGATGTTGCCGCTTCCCCTTGTGAGTTTTGGGACGGCGGTGGAAAAGTATTTTTGAGCCCTAAATGTCCTCAGTCACCGTCTTGTAAATGTTTATACGTTTCTCCTATCCTAAATGACAGCTAATCTAATCTGAAACCAACATTAAAATGATATTGTTACTGCAGAGAATAATACAGCTGAATGACGTCACTTCTGACAAACAGTACCCAGAGTCATGCTCTGAAATGTACAGCACAACCCAATGTATTTTTCCATTTCATTATTTAAAATAATCCAACAATCCAACAACTTGTTACTGGCTAAGATAACCATGTATATTAGATTGTACTCTGCACTGAATAATGGAATTATACATGACTTTTCTTTGTCTTGATATCTGCATTGTATATTGGCCTCCCTGCTCATAATCCCATATCGGTTTACCACTAGACAAAGTAACGAACACATGGGCCACTTAATACCCAGATCGTTCAATTGCATCTCATTATTTTCATCAGCGCAGTTGTTTGTAATTCATTTTTTTTTGGATTGTTTAGCTTGCGAGACAAACTATAGCACTGGCTATGTTGTCCTTTGATTCAGTCAGGATACATTTGTGTTTACAGTACATCTAGGTCACTGACCAATCTCCTGAATGTGGCATGAGCAATGCGATCCCAATGCAGCCTCAATATATCGTAGATATATTCACACGAAAAAAAAGGATGATGTGGATAAAATACATATTTCCTGCAGACATCCGCAACGCTTCATCCCTGGACATGTTTAAAAACTCCTCAATAATCATCTGTTCACCACAGCCTGGAAACTCCCTAATTGATGATTCACCTGTAGCTTTTTTAAAAAGATTTGTTGTTGTGTCACATATTGTCAGTTCTGTAAAGTATTCTTGGGTTTCATGAAAGGCGGTATATGAGTTTAAGTTATTGTTGTTATTATTATTATTATTATTATTATTACTGTTGACATAACAATCTTCCTTCAAGCACCATTTAGTAGCTGTTTTGGAGTTTTCAATCCTATCACATAATTTGCATTAGCAGAATTTGTAGATGTTAAAATTTTAATTTCTGTACACTGATTAAGATCATTTGATATGATTGAAAGCTCCCGAACAGCTCCTAAATGGACCGTAAGGTGAGATTGTTTTGAGAACTGCGGTTTCCAATGCAAAGAATGAACTTTTCAGCTAAGTCTGTAGGATGTGAGTCTCACTCCCGGACAATAGGTGGCGGTGTGCACATTTATAGCAAGCTGCGATCGTCTGTGATCAATCAAATCGCAGAAGAAGAGCGCTTTGTCGGTGGAGGGCTTTGAGTCGCAGCGTGTAACTTTTAGCTTTTGTAAATTTGATTGTTGTTACATTTACTCCGAACGATTTCAGCTGCAGCTTAGTAGCTGATTTGTAATTCGTCGACGGTACCTTATATTCAGTGAACTACACGAGCGCCATTTTATCGTGTATTCTGACCTGTTAGCCAGCTTGCTAACGATCACTTCCTTAACTGTTGTAGCTTGCAGCTAACGTTAGCTAGGTTTGTGCTAACATGTCTGGTGAAAGTGTGATTAGGGGACCATCAGGGAGCAACGACTGTCGCATATACGTCGGGAATCTCCCCCCTGACATCCGCTCAAAGGACGTTGAAGACTTGTTTTACAAATATGGAGCCATTCGTGATATTGATTTGAAAAACCGAAGAGGAGGACCACCATTTGCCTTCGTGCAGTTCGAGGACCCGAGGTGAGGGTTGTTGTTCAGTGTGCTTTAGTGTTCAGTGTTTTAGCTAGGTAGGGCAACGTTATGCCCAATGAATATGTGAAGCTCGGTGTGTTGGTTGTGCCAAAACTCCGTCCTCCCGCAGACGCTTTCTGTGCAAACCAGCGTGCTGCAAAACCACAGGTGGTACGTTAACATTTTGAGCGGCAATGATTCATCGATTAGTTGCTCTCCAAAAAATGAATTGGCTATTTTGATAGTCGACTAGTCATTAAAGTCACTTGTTTCAGTTTCTCAAGTCTGAACACTTGAGGCCATTTCTTGTCTCCTTGTAGTAAATTGATTTATTCTTTGTGTTTTGGATTACTGCAGTGCTTTGGGCAGTTTTACAATTAATAATCAGTCAATTGAGACTTTAATGAACAGATGAATGGATAATAAATAATAGCCTGCAGCCTTATTAACATTTAAACGCCTTTGTGCATTTTGAACTAATTTACTATGTCAGACTGTACGTTTTTACTCCACTAGCTTTATTTAGTTTAGATCAAGACTAAGTGATGGATGACTAATGTTAGTCTCTTTCTTCAGACTGTCAAAACAACTACAAATATCATAGTTTGAACAAGACCCTACATAGGATTTACAAAAGATTTAAAACACTGTATTTCTCTGTCATGCTTTAAATAATAATTATTCTAATTTAAGTGTTTTAACAGGCTTCAGTGCTAAACTTTCCTATCCAGAGAAGCTGCTTTGTGTGTTCTGTATTACTTCAAGTGTCTGTGCGCACATTAGGCATAATGTGCGCACAGATAACGGCAATTCATTCAACAGCTCCCCCTCGTTCTTATGTTTAGATAAACATATATAATTGATTCTGCTGTGCTTCTAATTAGTCACTTTACCAAGCATGTTTCATGTTTTCCCAACTAAGAATCACAATATAGATGTTTTGTAAAAGTAATTGTAAGATAACACGTTATGACCAAAACACAACATTTGCCCAACTGATATCTGGGTTTCTTAACTGATAAAGCAGTATCTGTTTTTTGATTGTGAGTTTGATGATTGGTGACTGTTGACTTTCACAGGGATTCTGAGGATGCTGTTTACGGACGGGATGGTTACGACTATGATGGCTACCGCCTCCGCGTCGAGTTCCCTAGAAGTGGAAGGGGAGGGGGGGGTGGTGGTGGTGGTGGCGGCGGAGCAATGGGACCCCCAAGAGGAAGGAATGGCCCCCCCTCCCGACGCTCAGAGAACAGGGTTGTTGTGTCAGGTAGGTGATGTGATCCCCACTCTGTAAGTTGTGTTTATCTTTTTACCTTCAAGTCTATAGATGAATGTATGAGTCTTACGCCCCCTTCTCTTTTCAGGTCTTCCTCCCAGTGGAAGCTGGCAGGACCTGAAGGATCATATGCGAGATGCAGGCGATGTATGTTACGCTGATGTGTACCGTGATGGAACCGGGGTAGTGGAGTTTGTACGCAAAGAAGATATGACCTACGCTGTCCGTAAATTGGATAACACCAAGTTTCGCTCTCACGAGGTACGTAAAGGATTACAGCCTCAGGCCAACTTGCAACAAAAAATTGCTCTGGAAAAATCTTCGCTGATTGGCTTATTTGGTCCAAGCGTTGGCGTTACTAATGGTTGATGATGATTTTTAAGAAACAGGAAACAGAGATAATATTACTGTTCCTTTCTGTCTTTATTTTACAGTAAATACACACACTTCTGGTTATAGCAATAATCTCAGACTAGTGATTATCAGGTTATTTCAAAATATTGGATAAGCTGCTAAAACATAATTGCTTAAAACCTGACTATTATAAGTTCTAGAAAATAAGGTCAGGGCAGAAGTAGCCAAAATGAACCACAATATACAAACTGGGAGAACCTGAATTTAAAGAATGGAGAAACATATTGACTGCAGACACTTGGGAGCACCGAGGCTCACTGAATGGTTTGAGTTTTTTAAAATGACGTGAACAAAATTCTACGGCCTTTACAGTCACCAGATCTCAACCCAGTTTCACACCTATGGAAGATTTTGGACTAACGTGTGAGACAATGCTCTCGATCACCATCACTAAAACCAAATTCTATAAATCTTAATCTTAAAATCTATTTAGTGATGTCTGTGTCACTCCATGTCACTTTATGTCAGTGTGTTTATCTTTTTATCTGCTGTACTCGAGTCTCTCTTGATCTCTGAGGTTACCTGATTAAAAGGTTGGGTATATCTATCTATCTATCTATCTATCTATCTATCTAGTGGAGGAATGGTGGTCATCCCTCCAGTTTTGGAGCCTCGTGGTGGCCTGATTCCAAACAGACAATTCATGTTGTTTTGTTTTTTTCCTTTTAATTTAATTAGTTACCTATCTGTAGATGTTTTGTAGGTCAAGAAACTGGACCTGCATTTATAAGTACACTAATTATACAATGCAATTTTAAGCACTGATGTTTCCCAAAACATGTATTGTGACTGCAGGTGTTTCCTTCTACTTCAGTCTTAAGTAGCAACTTACACATGCTTAGTAATCTGTTTGATTGTGTTTCAGGGAGAGACGGCCTACATTCGTGTGAAGACCGACGGTCCTCGCAGCCCCAGCTATGGCCGTTCTCGCTCTCGGAGCCGCAGCAGGAGCCGCAGCCGAAGCAAGAGTGCGTCGCGCAGCTACTCCCCACGTCGCAGCAGAGGGTCTCCACGTCCCCGGCGTTCAGTCTCTCGCTCCCGCTCCCGCTCTCGCTCCCGCACCTAGATTCACTTCAGCTAAAGCAGTGGTGTGAATCAGAGCCGGAGAGGAAATCTTCACGTCACTCAACAGATCCTGTATACCCACCACGGATCATCATCAGATGTGTTCCCCCGTTTAAACCGTCTTGTGTGTTCCCCCAATTTTTGTTGCAGTTTTTGAGTTTTTGTTAGTTTTCATTTTTTGCAGAACAGATAAGTCTGGTCTGTGTACATGGCCCCTTCTGACTGTTCTTTCTTTTATCCCTTCTCATCATTGTTTTTCTGCTAGCCATCTCTGCTCCTTCTCTTTTACTTTTCTTCTACTAATTGTCCTCGTTGTATGCTTTATTTAGTTTTGTTTGGAAAGATTTTCCTTCTTTTAAGCATATACTACTGTCCTTTTGACTTTCTTGTGTGTCTCTCTGTAGAGTTCAGAGGAACAGGATAGGATGGGAAGAGAGGAAACAGTTCATATTAAGATAAACAGGAGGAGGAGGAGTCAAATATGGCGCCAATGGTATGATGGCTGTGCCTTGTCAACTGTGAAATCTGCTTTATAAGGCTGTTCAGTTTTAGTTTTTTTTTTCTTTCTTTTTAACGTACACTTGACAATAGAGTGCTGTTGAATGTTTTCAGGTGTAACAAGTTGTATTTGGAGACCCAAAGCTTGTGTTTTTTGCTTTTGCTCATCTTTTAGTATCCAAAGTAAATCTTAGTTTTTTTTGGGATTGACTGTAGATGGTGTCCCTTGTTTCTCTCAAAGTAAACTCCCTCTCAGATGCATTTATTGACTTTTTTTTTTTTTTTTTTAAGTATTTCCGAAGGTGTGATTCTAACTTGCCTCCTTCTCTTTGGTTCTGCTGGTATTCTGAAGGTTTGGACTGGGCTCATTGTCTCCCCATACCGGAGCCGGATCAGGATTCAGGATCAGATTAGGAATAGGCTTCAGGATGGATACATGGAGCAGGAGCATGGGAGCATTTTACCGGGAGAGGATCCTGACCCCCGGCCCTGTCCACATAAGTCCATCAAAACCGGAAAACACATTGTAGTGAAATAATCAAACAAAATTGGCTTTCAAATAATCCAAATTCATTTCCTTTTTTTTCCATTTTGTATGGGACCTCAGAGGCACAGTTACTGGCGGCACTGTGACAAGCGATTATTTGTCTTTTTTTTTAATTATACAAAAAAGAAGAGCAAAACCAGGAGGAGGGCTGGGAGGTGCAGGATGGATCCACACGCTAAGGAGAGTGGTAAACAGTGGGCATCCATTAACAGTGGAGGAGGGAGGGGAGAGGGAGGACTGTGGTTTGTATCTCTTTTTTTAGGTCAGTCTTTTCCTGAGGAGGATGATTTCTGGTTTTCTCAAGTATAATCTCCAGTATCTTAAAGCTTTATTCTCTTTTAATAAAACTTTCAATAAATTAGGTTATGTTTTTCTGTCATCCTTTCTGTGTATTTCTCCTAAATTGTGTCACCCAAACCTGAGGCCGACATCTGTCATCAGCCTTGTGCATCCTGCAGTAGCACGTTTGTATATTACGTGATGACGTTGGGGTCTAAGCTATCTGATTGATCAGTGGGGCTAACTAAAGACCGGTGGATAGTCTCAGTGCCAGGTAGTGATGAGAAAATTTGTGTTTTTACTGAATCAGATCTTTGAATCTTGTTGAGTAAAATGAACTTATTTTATTTTATTTTTTTGTAACTTATTTCATTTGAACTAGTTATTGCGGAGCTGTAACCCGCTACAGGGCGATGTAAAAAAACAAACAAACAAACAGCGCAGTTCTCAAACACCGAAGACTGCCTGGTTTGTTTCAGTTGACAAAGTCATTCTCATCATTCTCTCATTTTTCAATAAAGCCCCACAGTGCCACAACCAGATTCAAACCGTGTAAAATCCACAGAAATATGTTGTCATATTCAATAGCCACTACCCCGGCTAAACCTGTCCATTTTCACAATTTTTGCTAAAAAAAAGATTTGCTGGGAATATTTTGACGTAATAAGCTTGACACTATTTGAATAAACACTATTATTAAAATTCAACACACTTAATAATGATCTGGATAAAGCCATGAAGTTCTTTTAAAAAAAAAAAACAAAAAAAACTCCAGCACAGAGAAAAGAACAAAGAAATAAACAAACGCAGTAGTTTGGCAGGTGTGGACACAGAATGAGCCACATTAGGTCCGGATCTGCAGACAGAAAAAAAACGAGCACATCGCTCTCAAACGCTGGCAGGTTGTTTACCAGTCAAGAGCTGTGGAACAACAGCACGGCTCTGTTGATAAATAAAAAGGAAAATTTACGTTCTCTGGACCCGGACCCATCAGCTGTTAGCTGTAAACAGACCACAGGGCTAATATTGCGGGTGTGTTTTTTTTTTTAATGTTTTAATTACCGGGTCCGTTTGTTTTGGAGAGGAAACTACCTCAGGAGGTAATTCAGCTCCGGGCAGAACCCTGTCAGGGCACTGAATTATGTTTAATGCCCTCAGGACAGTGTTACCTCTACACTAACAGATATGCAATTTTTTTTATTCCTTCTGCCATCAGGCTTTTGAATACTGCTGACAGCGGCAACTAGACATGTGCTAGGCATCTGTAAACCTCTGTATTTATTTATTTACTTTGTATTTATTATCTCATTATTTATTTATCTTCTTGAATTATGGTCCCTGCTTGGTCCATGTACTGTGACCTGTGTATTGGCTGCTTTGTACTGGTGCCCAAATGCAATATGATATCATTGACAGGATTTCTGAATGCTTGACTGACTTTTGTCTTGTTTGATAGGACTGGCAGGCTAAAACTGAATTACCCAACGGGGATAGATAAAGTTGTTTGAAGTTGAAGTGGAGAGGACCCAGAATAACTCTCATCAGCTGTTAGCTGTAAACATTAGCAGGACTAAAGTTGCAGTATGGCTGTGTTAAAGCTATAGAACAACATCACTGCGCTGTGATAACATTATGCTTTATTAAATATCACATAATTAACAAAATAGCTATTTAATGTCAGTCGAGTGACTGCTTACCTGACAACTGACTTGACTCATTCTCCAGCAGACAGGAAGTCAGCCTGCCGAATGCGGTGTGTGGTGAACGAATCATTCATGTCTGCTCTACAGCCCAGTGGCTGAACTGTCATGTGACAATTGACCAACTCAAATACAAAGACCCAAAGTTGTAAATTGCGAACTAATCATTTCTGTTTCCTGTGCTGAGGAGCCCATGCAGCTGCCGTGTGACGAGTGAACATAAGAGTCTGACTATTCACGCATGCTTGAAAATGAACGAATTACTCACTGAGACTACTCGTTTCTCCTGAGTCAAAAACAAAAAAAAGATTCGTTCAAATGAACGAAACGTTCATTAACAGATACAAAACTAGTGCCAGGTTAACATCAGAATCAGAATCAGCTTTATTGCCAGGTATGTGTACACATACGAGGAACATTGTGTAGTTGAGCGAGTACAACCGTTAAAAATATTGATAACTCTTTAAAGTTCTAACTATTGCTTGTCCGCTTAGTCATACTGTTTTGTCGGTGCCGTTAACGTTAGTTAGCAGACTGTCCCGGGTTTTGTGCCACTATTCCCCGCAGATCTGTCCTTCGAGGTGCAGCACGGGTGTTGGATATTGACCTTACCTGGGGTATCTCCCCATATTTATAAAACACGTCCACCACATCTTTGTTTCTCTCAAAGTAAACTCCCTCTTAAATACATTTATTGACATTTTTGAAGTATTTCCGAAGGATTCTAACTTGCGTCCTTCTCTTTGGTTCTGCTGGTATTCTTAAGGGTTGGACTGGGCTCATTGTCTCCCCAGTCCAGAGCCGGATCATGATTCAGGATCAGATTAGGATTATGCTTCAGGATGGACACATGGAGCAGAAGCATGGAAGCATTTTACCGGGAGAGGATCCTGGCCTCTGGCCCTGTCCATCAAAACCCGAAAAACTAAATTGGCTTTCAAACAATTAAAAGAAAATGCATATTTTTGTGTGGGTCCTCAGAGATGCAATCACTGATGGCATCCTGATGAGTGATTGTTTTTCAAATTAAAAAAATAAATTAATTAAGAGGAGTAAAGCTCGGGAAAAAAAAAACCAGGAGGAAAGCTGGTAGGGGCAGGATGGATCCACGCACCTAAACAGAGTGGCAAATAGTGGGCAACCAGTTGGGGGGAAGAGGGAGGGCTGGGAGGAAACAAGGAAAGTTGAGGCCAGTCTTTTGCTGCAAAAGAAGAGTTTTAATTTAAGTATAATCTCCAGTATCTCAAAGCTTTGTTCTTCTTTTTCAAGTTCATAGAAATTCATAGATTACTCTGTCCATCTAATATATTCCAATCAGAGGACTGGACACACAATTACAGACAAGCTGAAAATTGAAAACAGCTTTAGACTTACACTATCTGACTGGTACTATATATGCCTTAGTTTAGATTAGTTCATGTTATACCAATTACTCAAAAATGCAAGAATGCACTGTATGTAACCCACAGCAAAACGAGTTATTTTCACTCATTAGGCCAGAAAATAAACCCTGTGTAGTGAAACTGTCCCATTAGACCAAATGTCCAAATCACCCTACCTCATCATGCTTACTTTAAATTTAGTTTGGATGAAAATCCACAAAAGGATTTTTTCTGCACTGGTGCACTTCTCTTTTGTCTATTTACAGTTGATATCAAAACTCAACAACACGTATTCAGCTCCTGCCCCCCCTGTTGGGGTGCAAACTAGATCTTAATGCATGCAAGCTCTCTTAAATTATGCAGATCAATACCATCGATCGACCTGATCACCTGGATCGATGACTCCCTCTGACTGGAGAGGAGGGGAGGGGAGGGGAGGGAAGGGAAAACGGTGCATTCTGGGTTGAAATAAGATGCAGGCACTGTCCGCAAGTGAAAGAACGCTGTCACCAGGGTGGAGGCTTCACTCCAGCCAATAAGAGGGAGGCTGTGATTTGGAGGGCGGAGCAGAGACGCACGCTCTCCTTGCATAAATGAAAGAAGAACACTGCAGCTTCCCTTAACGAACACCTCTAGACATTATAACTTCGCTGTGAGACGGTAAGTTTAATGCGTTTGATAGTGTGTGTGTCGCTCTGTGTGTTAAAACCTTTTCATTGTGCGCAGGTGAGGCTGGACGCCGAGGCTGCTGTTGCGGGCATGCTAATCTCGCCTTGTATTTGTCCTTAGAAGCTGTGCAATGCTCCTACTTTATTTTGTTTTGCATTGTTTGCAAACCTGGCAGCTTGAGTTATATTATAGGAGAAAGTTGTTGTTGTTGAATAGGTGCAGGAATGGCGAGGGACAAGTGTTACTTTACCAGCAGCAGTAAGCTAAAGTTAAAATGCTGTCAGCTTCACACTGCAGGTGCATCTTTTTCAACAATGTAGCAGAGTTGTCATGCTGCAAACCCATTGTGTCTGATTGACAAACCCACTTATTTGTCTTTGACTGTATGCTCCAGATCAACTGTGTCAGTGTACATCTGAAGGTTTTTCCACATAACTTCCATGAGGCCTCCAACTCAATTGATTGGATAATGTGCCAGCCTCATTTAGCTGTCATTTGTAAATGATCAATTCAAACAGCCAGACTCATAACTACAGGCAGTGATACCTACTAAGTGGTGGCGGCAGCAGTGTTGTAGTTGTGGGATGACGAGGATCAGTGTTGCTGAACTAGTAAGAACTGTCTCTGAAAATGTCTTTGAACGTGATTTGGTTTTTTTTCTCTCCTGCGCAGTCAAAAAAAGCCACCATGTCTGACAAGAAGGCAGTGATAAAGAATGCTGACATGTCTGATGACATGCAGCAGGATGCAGTGGACTGTGCCATGCAGGCTATGGAGAAGTACAACATTGAGAAGGATATTGCCGCCTATGTCAAAAAAGTACTTAAGATTAATCTCAAACTGCTGCAAATGTGACATTTATTGGAACCTGTTGTAAGTTGCCTTATTTGTGATATGCTAATAATGTTTGTATCCCCTGCAGGAGTTTGACAAGAAGTACAACCCCACGTGGCATTGCATTGTTGGGAGGAACTTTGGCAGCTACGTGACGCATGAGACGAAGCATTTCATCTACTTCTACCTGGGCCAGGTGGCCATTCTACTTTTCAAGTCCGGCTGAAATCTAAATATGTCCTCCTAAAACTACTTTTAATTCAGCCCTTAACACTTTTGTGCCACGCTGTACATTTGCTACCACTTTTCTGCAGACATTCTTACCTCCTGGTTTCATGCTTGCTTCAGTCTGTTATTGTTTGCCACTTACAACACAACCACCATCGGCGGATGGCGCTTTAGTGATGCCTGGACTGGTGATGTGCTGTTCATAGAAAATGTCTTGCCTATACCAGCTCTCAGTCAGCATTTGCTCATCTGACAGACTTGCCATGACCTCATAATTTCCGGGTATTCTTTTCTCAGTGCAGTGATGCGCGGGCCTTGTACATTGTTTCATATGGGTATGTTGTATAATAACTTATTTTCATGACATTAAAATGAGCAACAGAGTTTTCTTTGAAATGCCGTTCTTTAATTTTCAGTGTCAACTGAGATAGAATAAAAATGCCATGACTGTTGCTTACACTTAATAAAAAGAATACGATCTAAGATGTAAGGTTTTGTACATGCTTCAACATTCCTGTTTCATTTTAGTTGTGATTATTAACAATGTTACTGCTGTGTGTATATCTGCAATGTAATTTAGGGTGCAGTTTGGTATTGTGATTATTTTCAACATGTTGAGCACAAAACAACTTTGAGACTGTAAATTGGTTCAAAATGTGTACGCGTGCCTTGAATCTGTTTCACTTGCATGTACTATGACCACATGTCTTGATGTCCTGTCAGGCAAGCAAGTCTAGGTTTGTTTTGTTTTTTTTTCCTTCCAGACTGGTTTTACATACTCTAGGACAAATTTTGTTGGAGGCAGGGTACATACTGCCTTTTCAGAATGGGCAGATGTGGTCACTTCCTCTGCTTGTGTCCACAAAATATCCATCTGTGTATTGTTTGTATGATTTAAGTTTGGTGGCAAATGTGTTTATTCACTGGGAATAAATAAAGCTGTTGAATAATAAAAGCTGAGAAAATTGAGACTTGTATAACACTGGAAGGCTTCTGAGGTGAATTAGTTTCTATAGTTGTGTTTGAAGCGTTCAAGGAAACATGGGACTAGAAATATCCAGCAGAGGGAAGTATAACATTAACAAAACAGTACACTTTCCAGGTATATGTGACTTTGTTTATAGTACTTTATACTATACTACCCTACAAATGTAAAAAGCTGAAGTGAAAAGGGGGTTTTAAAGTCTTTTTCAAGGTGACAGGGTAGCATTCCTTTATTAGTATGTGTTATGGGACTCTTTGTTTTTTACATTAAAAAAATACTGGAACACACTGGCATCAGCGCATCACAAGCATGTGAGTGTGAAACAATGTTCTTCTGTTTCTGATTTGTATATTGCTGGTGAGAGATTGAGCAAATAATTGAGTTACAACAAACAGTTGTCTTTGAAGAATTTATTAATAGAAGAGAAAACACAGAAGTACTACAACACGTATACAGCTGGTCCAGAGACCTGCTGCTTAGGGCAGCTTCGGGCGTCTGGCCCTCAGCAAAGGGATGCATAATCATTTACACAGTCTAGGTTTCTATGTTTTGGGGAACAGAGATCCTCTCCCGGCCTTGAATGAACATTCAAGGAGAGGAGAGGGAAACGCGGAAACAATACCACAGCTCTGACCTAAACCCTAGTAAATGTGGACAGACTAATATAAAGAGTATATTGATAAAGAGAAGTTAATAGTGAGAGAAAAGGTTAAGGATGAAAAACAATATACAGATATGTACAACATAAACACTAATAGTAATAATAATAATAATTTAAAAAGAACATGTATAAAAGATTAAATGTAGGAGGAAACAATTTTCAGAAAACACAGAAAACCTTCTTTGTTGCTCCCCCTGAAACTAGCTACAACATACTGACCATGATAGAACACACAATCAATCTTCAGAAATCAAATCCATGTCATTCAGTGATGTGATCTACTCTCTTTGGTGATGATCTGCATTTATGACTTTATTATGTATTGCAACCGACAATATAGATCTTATTTTGAAGTTACTGGATCTTTTTTTGGATAAACGTGTTCACTTCAGTTGGCTTTTGTCTCTTCTTCATATTCTGTTTTAGAAGACATGAGTCAAGAAAACCAAACATGACCAAACCTCAACATGTTACATTGGTTTTTAACAAGACATTTTAACACATGGTACAATACAGATCCTCTTCTTGATTTTATAATCTACTTTGAATTCTTAATTTATGCTCCTTCTAACTGGTGATTTACAAAACATGATTTTTTTGGTCACTTATATGCTGCAGATATTACATAAATATGTAAAAGGGACAATTGTAAAAATTGTTTAATCTTTTGATACTTATTTTAACCCTCTGAACTTTCTCTTGTAATGCTGTATTTTGACATTGTTATATTGTTTAATTAAATGTAATTTATGACAGTTTGCAGTGGTGGAATGTAATTAAGTATATTTACTGTACTCAAGTGAGTATTTTCTTTTCATGACACTTCTACTTCTACTCCACTACTCTCATTAATCTCTTATCTGACAGCTTTAGTTACTTTACAAATTAAAATGTTTGCTTTCAAAACATATGTTGAGTTTATAAAGGTACCAAAGTACAGATAAAACGAATAGTTGATTCATCACTGTCATTATTTTAATTTATTTATAATAATTTTGAGGTTAGGACTCTTGGTTGGACAAAAAAAAAGCATTGTGAAGGTGTCAGTTTGGGCTCTGGGTAACTGATGGCATTTCTCACTATTTGTTTTCAAACCAAACAATTAATTGATTAATTGAGAAAAGAATCATCACATTAATCCATAATGAAAGCAATCATTAGTTGCAGTCCAATACAAAATACTGTAGTTAAACATGAGCTCGACTCTTACCTATTACAGCAATAAAATCCTGCTTTTATATTAATGCATAATTTATACTTTTCTAATGATATATGATAAAGGCACAGGTGACATTTTTCTGCATTGAGTAGACTACTTTTAATACTTTAAGTATATTTTCCTGACTGTATTTTTACAGTATGACATCAGTAGGCCTACTTTTACTTAATTAAAGGATACTTCTTCCACCACTAGTGAGGGAAAGGATGAAACTGGGTACTGAGTGACTGGAAACTGAGCTCTAGGTGTTGTGTGTCTGGTTTACACAGCAGGGGGCAGTCATGAGCCTGACATTCAGATGTGAAGCTTGAAAAGAAGGGCGAGAACCACCAAGCAAATAAAATACTTCCGAGTGCAAAAGTATGGCTGCTCAAACCGGGTTGTCACCACAGGCTCATGTGAGGCGCAGCGATGTCCCCGTTTTCCCCCCTGTGGCTCTGTCCGCGGAGGCCGCCCCGTTCACGCCGCTCCGTACGGACGGCTGGCAGCTCGGCTCGCTGTCGGACGCCGAGAAACAGTTTTCCCGCTGCGCCGCGAGGCTCAGAGCCCTGCGAGCAGACTCGGACCAGCTCAGAGAGGAGCTCAACCTGCTGTTCGACCAGCTCCTGTCCGAAAACTACAACAAAACCTTCGAGCCCAGTATCAACATCCGACCAGAGGTAATCGTTTTGACCTATAACGTTATATGCCTAATGTTTCTGTTTGAAACCATGAATTGGTACTTCAGAGCAAACTCAAGTGGGTGTGACTGAGCAACCCAACCCGTTAAAGATGCCTGAACACTGAAGATGTACTCATAAAAATGCAATTTATTTAACTCTCTTGCATCAGTAACTGCCTATGCCTGAAAACAACAAGCAAATGAAAGCAAGTAGTGTGATCAAAGGTCAGGTAAAATTTGATTTTGTCCTAAGTGAAAACATTCTGCGGAGGACAACATTACTTTAATCTGTGTATATACACCCTATCAACCACCTAGAGGCCACACAAAACACCGTAGCAGCCAACATATGCCCTCACAACATCAAAGCGACCAACATGGAAACAACCACCCATATCAGAGCCACTAGCCGCCTCCCTGTGAGAGCAACTTATAAAGAACCCTGTAAGTCAAGTCTTGCTCTGGCAGTAAACGCACTTAAAATTTACTTCAAAAAAGGATGCAAATAGGAAAGCCAAACTCCTTCAACATATGTGACGTCAAGGATTTTTTTGTTTTACTGTTGCTCTACTTATTTTCCATTGCAGGACGTGTGCAGTTTGTTGAAACACGTCAGTTGTCTTGTGCCACTGAGTCAAGAACATCTAGTCATCAAACTCTGCCAGCTGGTGCATCATCTGCTCAATCAGCTAAAGGTAACACACAGCCTTTAGGACCAGAAGTCGAGATTATACTACTCATCGACTCATGTGCCAATAAACACTGCACTTTCAAGCTGGCCATGTCCTGCTTTTTCTTACTTACTCACTGTTTCTTTAGGTGATAATGGATGAGAAGACATTGGATGTGTTGGTGAACTATACCGCCAGTGCGCTGAAAGTGTGCAGTACGTGGACACACTCGGATATCCTCCTGGCACTCTCCACAATAGTGTATGGGAATGGACCTCAGTGCCACCATGTAGGTATTTAAACAAGCCCTGTGGAAGTGTATTGTAATATATGATAACTGTGAAATATTTACAATGAGATTTTTCTCATTCATAGCACCTCAGCAACTTGTTGGGTGAAGATGGAGTCCTCCTGCTGTATAGTTCCCCATCTCAGGCAAATTTGGAATTACGCCGTGTTGCTCTTACATGTATGGCCAACATCTGTCTCAGGTAGGTCACTGTTTGTCCGATCTAATTTCTTTGAGTTCGGGTTCATCACTCTCAATGTTGGAGGCAGAACAAATGAATATGGACATTTTGGGTGCAGCGGAGATGAAGCAGTTGAACATCAACTTTCAATATCCCCATTGAGATGCACATTACAAGAGGGGAAATTAGATATTGTACCGTCCCTCAACAAGAAGCTACAAGACGATAGCTGGGTTCGCTCGCACTTTATTACAGAACAAAATACAGGCTACTGTGGGCTGTAGCCATCTCCAAAAAAACCAAACCTGGCTGTCAGCAGTGTACTACACACGCTAACACCCTCATGTTATCAACTCTGTGCCCCTCTGCTAACACACACACACTCCCCAAGACTAGCAGGAACAACAGCAACATCCGTCCCCATTAAATCTAGAAAATAAACGATTGACAGGCTTCTAGGCATATCACACATTCACTGACATCGTGGAAAACACAGTGAGTACGATAAACAGACCTTTCTGCCCTAGCTGAATATAACAGCCTTAACACAGTGACATTATAACATAACAGCTAACACCAACATGTCACCCTGTCCCTTATAATGTTTAGACTGTAAGACCTTGTCTGGAAATTGCATTTACTTTGCATGTCAATAGAGATTTTAAGGATTTTATTTGAAGCACTGAAAGCTTGTAGTTTTGCAGAGGGCTGCAGCTGTTTTCAGCATGGATTTCTAACCGTTACAGTGGGTTCCAATGAGGCCCCAAAGTCATGGCAAAAAATGGCAAAACCTCCATAGAGACTTCACCAAACTGCTGCTGCAACATAGTCCACCACTCCCCCATCTGTGCCAATAAGAGCATGTTGCTCCATAACTGCTGGATGTGTTTAAAAAACAAATGCTTTCTTAAAAGTATGCCATGTCAAGGTGATGTAATCGCAGTGTTGTGCTGACAATTTATTCATTCTTTTAACCTTGGTTGTAATGGCTGGCTTGTTCTTCTCCAGGATCCCTGGTCAGCCACCTTTGGATGATCAATACAGAAGTGTATCTTTCAGCGTCTTCCTGAAAACACTGCAGTCACCCAGACCTCCCAACACCGATGAGCTCTTCTACTGCATGGTACGGATAATTACGGAAAATAAGTTGGTTGTGTAGAAAGAGTTCAATGGGGGGAAAAATACATGTAATCATAGTTGACCAATGCCTGCCCTTGTATCTACTGTGCAGGTGATCCAGGCAACACTGAAGGGACTCCAGTGTTGCCTCTCAGGTGGGAAGTGGAAGTTTGGTGGAGGAGAGGAGCTTGGGTCTGTACTGGCCTCACTTAAGGTGCAAAATTGTAACACATTTACAGATTATTTTATTGTATTATCATTTTATGTCCTTTTTCCTGCATAAACACTACATGACAGTTTAAATGAGTTTATATAATGTTTTTTGCAGAGACTCATGTTCCAGGGAGTTCCTGGTGTGAGTGTCGAGTGGCCACCTGTGCTTTACCCAGCGCCTCTTCCTCACTACGAGGGTCTCTCTGCACTGAAACCCACGGAACCACCAAAACCCTCAGAAGCACCAAAGGATGCCGCTGTGCCAGGCAAGACCTCAGGGGTAAGACAAGCCTTCACTTTTGTTGGTATAAGTTGTAGTAAGGACTTTCTATATCAGTGATGAAACACACATTTTTGGTTTAAATGTTTTTCACGTCTTACTTCAGAATAAAAAGAGGAAACCCAGAGGAAAGGGGAAGAAGATGAGCACAGAGGAGAGCAGAGGGGACGATGGAGAGGAAGATGAACGAGAGGCAGTGTCTGCACTTGAGAAAGGGGGGAGAGAGGGAGGCAGAGTCGAGGGGGAGTCCTGGTCTAAACCCTCTGCCCCTTCTCTCTACCCCTCCTGGAAAAGAACCAGCTCTGACTCTGAGTTTTCCGACCCAGAAGGCAATGCACAGAGTAAATTAAGGTAAAGAGAGACACTGCTCATATCCTCGCATGTTACCACCATCTTTTTTTTTTTTTTGTTAGTACAAGCATGTGTGTTTTTTCTTTTACTTAAAGCTGAAGCTATTTTCCTTTGCATGCATTTCATTACTACAAGCTAATGTCTTGAAAAAAGTTACATTTGAGGAACAAAACTAACTTTATGCATTGTTATGACCTGGCTCAACAGGCCACAACAAAAGGGAGACACACCATGGTAAATGTTTAACAAAATATATTTATTTAACTCAAAATAAGCCAAATTAATACTTGTACCAATGTAAAGGTGATAAAGTATGGGGTATGAACATCAGTGGTTTCAGTCATGTCATGGCAGCATGATGGATGCATGGAAGATGTGTGTAAGGGTGTTGTAATGTGCAAGAAACAATAACCACAACTAAAACAGCATGTCCAGAAACCAAAGCAAAGTTGGAACCTGTGGAGGGAAACAGAGGGCTGTAAGTTAGCATGGAGGTGTGTGACCTCAGTCCAGCAGCATCAGCCTTAAGAATGAGTAAGGCATTAAAAATACTCTACAGGGCAATTATGTTGCATTCCAGGCAACTCGGAACTGGGAAATTTCCAACCTCCAAACTAGAAAAACTATCCTGGAACACCACTTGAAGTCGGATTTTCTACTTGTGAACACGAGTAGCAGCCGAATGACGTCACACAACAGTGTCAGCTCCCATGGAAGCACACATTGTAAATGGTAAACGATAAACTAAAAGGCAAATTAAAGTATTAAATTAAAAGAATGCATACTAGTATCAAAAAGTAAAACTTTTTTTCTGCATGTAAATTGATGTAGAAATATGTTGTCAGTGTTATTAGGTTGCTGGTTACAGTAAACAATCTCTGAAAGACATCTTTTCTGCCCAAAAGTTATTCAGGAATATGTTAAAATGGCCAGAAATATGAAAACATTTGAAAATATAGCCAACAACTTTTGCAGACTTTTCAGGATTACCAACTGATGTAGCTAGAAGGATACACATTTAACAAGTAGCCTAACGTATATTTGTCACTTGTTTTTAATAAAATGGCCATCCTTCTAATTTACACCAGGTGCACTGCTGAGGGTGTAACTGTGCATAAACTTGCCAAAGAGACATAAGGTTGTCACAGTCAGCCATGTTTGTTTAAATTTAGCGTCCTGCACCACCATGCAACTGAAACACTTTAAGGTCGGAAGTTGGAAATTTCAATTTGGAAATTTCTCAGTTCCGACCGGTCTGGAACGCAGCAACAGTCCAGGTGCCCAGAGTTACTGCAATCACTCTCAGCTCTTCGCCTGCAAGAGATAGAGAGTGGCCACGCCCACACATGACCCTACAGGGCGTCACAGCATTAAAAGATTTACATGTTGACAAAGTGAATGGATTGGGTGCTTTTCCTCAGTTTGTAATACTTCAACACTTCCTGCATGTATGAGTGAGAAATCTAGGTCATATATATATATATATACTGCAGTATTTTTCTCTTTCAGGCTTTACCACGGTCGGGTGCGTCAGGCAGCACTGCACTGTCTTCTAGCGGTGATGAAAGGTGTAGAGAAGAGGACTCTGTACGGGTACTGGTCCTCCTTTATCCCTGACTCTCCGATTGGGGGACCGCCGCCTCTAACTCTTCTCACAATTATACTGAAGGACCCCTCGCCAAAGGTACAACATTACCCTCACTCATGTTACAATCCTCCTCAGCACGTATGGCTGTAGCATCTCTTTTCTCTCCTTCCAGGTGCGTGCTAGCGCGCTTCAGGTGTTGTCGGCCATGCTGGATGGCTCCCGTCAGTTCCTGGCCGTGGCTGAAGATACGGCGTCTCCTCGTACATCTTACACCCCTTTCTCCTTCTCGCTGGCCACTGCCGTCAGAGAACTGCACCGCTCTCTCAGTCTGGCTCTGCTGGCTGAGACCTCGCCTCAGACCCTCACACAGGTCATAAAGGTATGATAACATGCCCTCAGCCCAAGCCTGAACCCTGAGACAGAAAGTTTGACCTTCTGGGGGTGCTAAATGAAAGTCGGGAGATCACCAAAGTCATAAGGATGAATATCTGTGCCAACTTTCATGGCAGACAATCTGGCAAAAAATATTTCATTCTGGACCAAAAAAAGATGGGCTGGCTGAAACGTACACCTCTTAAATTCAGTTCATAAAAGAGAATGAGCATGAAACAAGTTGTGTTTTAATGTATTGAGAGATTTTCCCCACCTCTCCTGTCTGTTAGTGTCTGGCCTACCTGGTGGCGAACGCTCCCTACCACCGTCTCAGACCTGGTCTGCTTGGCCCGCTCTGGAAGCAGCTGCGTCCCTATGTGCGCCACAGAGGTCTGTATTTCGTCAGTGCACACAGTGTTTACAGTAAAACATGCGTCTTTTAATACAACTGCTTTCTGTCTTTAGACGTGAATGTCCGAGTGTCAGTCTTGACACTTTATGGGGCCCTGGTGACGACTCAGGCTCCTCTCCCCGAGGTGCAGCTCCTCCTCCGACAGCCGGAGGGCAGCAGCTCTGGCTCTTTCTCGCCGCAGGACTCTGCTCTCAGCTGGAGACAAAGAGACGGCGTGTCCTCGCCCTCTCGTGCACCATTCACACCCTCCCAGCAGAGCTCGCGCACACACTCCCCCCGCGTTCCCCGCACGCCGGTGGAGGAGGACAGCGCCCCGCCATGGCTGCTGCAGCTGTGTGTGTTGCTGGTGACTCAGCCCAGAGAGGACCAATCAGACGGCGAGGGAGCGGGGACAGGAGAAGGCGCCGCTTTAGAGCCCTCCCCTGTCCGACTAGAAGCTCTACAGGTGAGAGATGATAGGTGAGACAGGAAGAGACGAGACATTGCAGAAGGTGTATTTTATTATTATTTTTAATGCATCCTGTGTGTTTCAGGTCATGTCCCACCTGGTGCGTGGGTATTTCTCTCTAGCCCAAGCATGTCTGTGTGAGATCGGGCACGTGAGCGCTCGCTGCCTCGGGGAGACAGACCCCTCCATACAACTGCACGGAGCAAAGGTAACACCTTGTAGTTTCTCTCAGTGCCCATCTGTAAGTGACCTTCACACCACTCATGGTTTGTGTGTGCTTGCTTGTCTTCCAAGATTCCACATTACAGGTGGTTTAAAGGACCATTTTTGAAAATGAATATTTAGAAATGACATAAGAAAATATGTCTTTGTCTTTTATTTAGTTACTAGAGGAGTTGGGGACAGGAATAATCCAGCAGTACAGAGCAGAGAACAACGTGCCAGAGAGCTCACGAGTCCCTATGAGTCAAGTAAGTACAAACTGTCTCTATACTATAGACTAGTGTTAATTTTGTCAGCCATTTTAAAATGTAGTCTTAGTCTTAGTAAGGGGAGAAAAAATTTCAGTTGACTAAAGGTCTGGGTGTTTTAGTCAAAAGGAAATCAAAAGTATTTTAGTCTAGTTTTAGTCATTAACCATCAAGAAAAAAAACTACCGCAGAATGAACTGGGGGGGGGGTAACTGACTAATATATTTGTTTACTTTCGTCTGACGAAAGTAACACTACTATAGACAACTGTGATGTATGAATGTGTTTTCGTTTCATACATGCATTATGTGGGCATGATATAGGTGGTGCTGTTTTGGTCAGAAGTCTTGAGTGGTCCGCTGAACGGAGCACTGCAGAACGAACAGCATCCCACGCTGCAGACGAGCGCCTGCGACACGCTCTCCACCATCCTGCCACAGGCCTTCGCACAGCTGCCCGTGAGTTCCCCTACGACTGAACACTTTCTTCATAGCTGAGACTGAGCTTCATTGGTCTTATTCGTGTGACGTTTAATTTTGCTTTAAAGGACAAGACCCAGCTGATGTGCATCACCATGCTGCTGGGGCTTACCTACAGTGAAAACTATCTGGTGAAGACTGCAGCTGTCAGGGCGTTGGGAGTCTACATACTGTTCCCCTGTCTGAGAGAGGTAGAACCAGCACCTGTGAGCATACTGAGCACCGTGCAGCATGTTTCTCACCCTAACAGATTGTGTTTATTTCTGTCTCTCCCTCCCTTTTCAGGATGTGATGTTCGTGGCAGACACAGCAAACACTATCCTTGCTGCCCTAGATGATCGCTCTCCAAATGTCCGTGCCAAGGCTGCCTGGTCCCTAGGCAACCTCACAGACACGCTTATAGTTAACATGTAAGAAAACATGGATACAATGTGCTGAGTGAATGCTTGCTATTTATAATGGTACAGTAAAGAAATCTGATCTTGAAACCATTAAGGCATGGATCCACTTATGTTTACTAATATGTTTTTA